TCTCTCTCTTCTCTCGCTCGCTCTCTTCGTTCGCGCTCTCTACTCTCTCTCTCTCTCTCACTCTCTCTCTTCTCTCTCTCTTTGCTCTCTCTCTCTTTCTCTCGCTCGCTTCGATGCAATTAGGGTTCCTAGTGTTACCCGCGTCTCCCCCCGCGCGCGCATTCACGCCCCATGTTCATACCCCGCCACTTTCCAGGTTGTTGTCATGCTGTGCGTGGAGATTTTCACCGCCGCTAAATCGCAATATCTGCCACCGTGCCTAGTTAGAATTAGTAACACTTTTGCGCCGACTTTCTATCTTATTATATAGATGACCTGCAAACTTTACGGCGGGGCGCCATTTCAGATGCGTGACGCGGGCTCTCTCAGTGTGAGTTCACGCGCGGGTTGCGCTCTTAGATTAAAACTATTAGCGCATTAAATTTATCGCCGCCGACGATATTCTAGTTGCTACACGAGCGTTTCTTTCGCGATTGCTCTTACATAAGACCCTACGCGCGCTGTCTTGCACGCACATACACGATACACCCCGAGAGATGCGGCGGCACCCAGCTTCCCATATAGAGAGCCACTAGATTAATTCCAATCCTAAACCCAGATATGCCTTATCATAGCAGCATGCGCTTAGTAACATAAGCACCATACGTCTATATATAAAAACGCCAAGCAGGTGGCATCGACGGAAACTAAGGCGTACGCCAACGCGTGGCCGTGCTCGGCGGCCGCATGAGGGCGCTGATGCAGGGGCGTTCACTTGAAAGTAAAATTATCTGCGCGGAACGCAGCGGTGCGCACTTATGAGCTCAAAACGTAGCGGCTGCGCATGCCGGCGCGCAGTCCGCGTGAGCACACGCGGCCATTGTATTCATTTGATGGCTAGTTGACTCTCTGCCGCACCGTTCTCACTCGAGCACGTTTATATGGACTGTGTCAGTAGAGTCGATGTGGCGCTCCCCTTCTAGCGGCAGGCAATGCTTTTTAAAAAGGCAACCGCGTATATATATACCTACCGCTATTACGCAATTATTTAACGCACACTGATGTTCCTAATCGTAGAGACTGGCAAAAACGCACCGGGAATACTGGGATCGCTCTGTGTCCGCGATTGCACACCGCAGCTTCTATGGATCGGGCGTTTAGAAATGATTCGCGTTGATGGTTAGACAAATCCGGTTTCAAAGCTGCGATATAGTATAGCGGAGCACGATTTTTGAGACGAGAGCCAACATCTATAAGACGTTAATGGTAGGCTATAGACTTGACGGGGCGCTTTTTGAATTAGTCGTTTCTTCTTTGCGTTTACGATCACCCACAGCCGGTTTATGATATTAGATATGGTCTCTGCATTAGGCTGCTGCGGGCTAGCGGCTTTGGCTAGCCGCGGGTGTGGTGTACCACTCAGGCGAAAGCGGGCGCGCTTTCGAAAGCAAGGTGTGTCCCGCGCGGCCTTCGATATTACGTGACCGAAAGCCTAGCCGGCAGTGGTTGTATTCATGACCTTGTTGACTTTAATTATAACAAGGATCTAGACTCCAACGTACAAATCAGGCCCTCTGGCCACGCGAAACCTGAAAGCGTAAACGCAGCTAATCGCCACCCGAAAAATCGGACGCACGCCATAGACATCGCGGTACATCCATACACAACGCGCACGCACGCACGCACGCACGGCACTCGCACGCAACACACACACACACACACACACCCACAGAATGAGCAAAGAGCGCGAGAGAGAGAGAGACAGAACCGAGATAGAGAGGGGGGAGAGAGAATTGACAACGAGAGACCCGAGAGACGAGAAAAAAGTAACAGAGCAAGAAAGAGAGAGAGGAGAGAGAAGATATGAGAGAGAGAGAGAGCGCAGATTGGACATAGACGCGCCATGCGCACCGACACGGTTAGCAATCGTATGATTCTATAAGACTAGGCTAACAAAAATAATATGGTCTTTTTACGTTGTTGGATAATGATACTGTAATGAACCCGGGAAACGATCGCACACCAACAATGACATTGTGCCTTTGGTCTCTATTCGAGTGTTTTTCAGTGAGGCTTTTGTGTTTCAGAGAAAAGTTCCCTTTGATTACTTTTTACAGTGCCCAAGAGCTCACCTCTTCCTCGCACGCACCTTGGCAAAATCTTTCATCGGGGCTTGACCGCCTCGTAAAACGTCCGATATTTTAGGTCAATTTCATAAGCAATTGGGCAAGCACAATAAAGCTTTACGCGGTTTACACCTGGGGCTATAGAATTAAGCTAAGTGACGTACGGAATTAATCAGATATAGGAAGGCACGCCTGGCCACTTGGAAATAATACGCTATTAGCACTCAATGATCTGTAAAGGTTGGCGAAGAACACATCTTTAATTGCGTGCTGTACGTTGCCATAGTTAAGAATTTCTCCACGTGGCTCCCATGGTGCCTCTATTTACACACATCCCGCATACAGCGAGTTTGCTCGCTTCACAGTAATAATATCACGCGAGATCCTGTTTCCCGCGAAGCACATTATATGTACGCTCGTGGGAAAAAAATATCTCGCGTTGCCATATAACGAGATGCGGAGGGCGTTGTTAGGAATTCCATCCTGCTGCAGGCGAGACTATAGTTCGTTATTAATGGTCAACCGCCACAACTCGCCTGTGACGTGAGGACGCCTCTTCGGCAATCACGTTCTCGAGCATGCACCGTCAAACTAACTCCTTCACGCGAGTTTATACCAACCCACCTTTTGCGCTGCTTGCATAGTGTTATGTTTGCATTATCACCTACATGTTTGTGACATGTATTTCCGCAAGCGGTTATGATTTGTCCAGTGATTGCTTATATTGTTGTAGATGACGTGATTAGCGCATTAATGGGGGGGGGTGCTTTTTATAATTGCACTGTGAAATTAACAAATTACTGTTAGTATTCATATGCGTATCACGTAGAAGAATTTGCGGTACATAATGTATAATTAGGATGGTAGGCCTACGTGTGGACGGTGTGTTACGGTACCTGCACACAGAGACCTGTGCAGAAAGCGCACATGCCTACACGCAAGTAATATTTCCATGCAACCTGGTAACCGTGCGGCTACATCCTGTATGCACAGGCCATATTAAGTTTATATTTAACCTGAAGCTGAACTCAGTAGTTAGTGGATATAGTAATAGCAGGAGTGTATAATACTAACTCTATTGTGACTATATTATGACTATCTTATGACACTCCTGGTAATGATACCTCTATAGTCAGTGCTGCGTGTAACGCAGAAACATTAATTATTGCATACGTCGTGGGAAAGGCCAGGGCCGTCTCAAACCAACGGATCCTTAAAAAATACCATTGTGTGCTCCAACGTGCCATCTTCCTGTTGACACGTGAAACTCCAGCCGTCTGGCTAGAGAGCGTTTAATTCGCAAACATTCGCCAAGGCTATCGATCGATATCAAAAGAAGAGATTGTCCCGGCACATCGCAGCGGATATCTTCATTAAACGGCAGCTGCCACGAATCACTTTCTATTCGACAGGCGAATGTAAGAACCGCAGAACAACCCCTTTCATCTGCGAGACGAACAGAGCGCGCCACGCTGTGACTAGCATGAAAAGACGCGCGGCAGTATATTGATATACGGTTGTATGGAGAAGGCGTAATCGCGAGGGGAGAGGCTAAATGATAATTATTGTGAGAGTAGGTGAAAAATTAAGGTTACGACAGCGGATGTCATAGGCGTGATTATTTCAAGGCTATATAGAGTGTATACGCCTCTTTTGCCATAACACACAGATGGCCGTACGTGGTTGGGTTGTATGGATGGATTGCTATATAGTTACTAGGTGCTTATTACTGCGACCACGGTCCATGAGAGCAGGGAATGATGTCAGTAGGGACACTTAGATTACGTAAATTTATCAAAACACGAGATTACGTGACATGCGATCGAACCCTACTAATGACGTACGCCGTCTGTCGTTAAAACGTGTTTGAATGTCCTCTATATATGGATGACTGCTGCTACCGGCAGGCGATGCGACGAATGGTACATACCCAACCCCAGCGGGTAAAAGACGCTGCACAAGTTCGAATCTCACTGAATCCACTAAACCTATGTAGACACGGCGCATAAACGTGTTCTAAAAGCAGCCCATCCCGACGCTATAATTACACCGTGTAGCCACCGCCTCGGTGAAATGTAGACACTTAACACGTCAAAGAATGAACTTTCGTCTCTCGCCTTGTAAAAGAAACTAGAAATTAAATTACAAATTCAAAATTTAAAATGGCCCCAAGACTCAAAGCAACGTCGCGCAAGCAGTAGTTCACGCATGCGCGTTTAAAATTAGATCGTCTGCGACTGTTGGCGCTCGCGATGATTACATACGTCCGGTAGAAAGTCGCTCTCGTGCTAATTATAGCTCGTCACGTTCCCATGGTAGCGACGCCGATCGAGACAAGAAAAATGAAAACCGCGTAGTTCTAATGACAGCCTGACACCGGTAGGATTTTAACGAGCCGCTTACTATACATGATCAACGGTATCTCATCTATGTTATGCGGCTACTGTATCAATCAAGCAGTGAATGGATAGCTGTTCTTATATGTAATTTACCCACTCCTCCGCCCCGGGCTTGTATGACCGATCACTCATGGGTCACCAAGTTAAAGCGGTATAGCAGTTAGATTAATAGGTGGTTCTGGTACCGTGATCTTAATCGCTGTTCACGGGCAAATCCGATGACGTTCTAGCCACCGGACGAGGGCGTCTATCGCAATATAGTAATGAAATTTATTACTACGCAATAATTTCCGATAAAACTTTTACTCCTACGTGCGCGATAGACGAACAAGTGAGCAGGAGCAGGAGTAGGCGTTCTATTGTCATCGCATGATTGCGTGCGCGCAAGGTTTTCATACTCATTTATTAAGTCTGCTCTTCGCACATGCTAAAAAAATGCACGAATCAAACATTGCGCAATTAGAAATTTTATACGATCCTCGTTCGTCTGCTGCAG